AACGAAAAATATTCTTACTATAGAAACTATAGTAAGAATTATAAAAAAGCAAAAAGTAGAAATTTTTTTTGTCCTGTGATTAGACTTGTAACTTAAAATACATAAAAATTATATTTAATGCCTAAGCCTTCTTTTTCCCACTTGTTTTCTTTTTTTTTTTTTTTTATTTTGTTATCGTATTCAAAGAAGTATAATGCAATATGTATGTATCTAAAAATTTTTACTAATACTAATAAAAATAACGATATAATAATAACGTTTTAACAATATAACAAAGTATCACCAATGGGGAAAAAAAGCAATTTATAACAAAGAAATGAACAGCACATTGATAGCAGCATAAAAAAAGGCAACAACAACAAAAACAAAAAATGATACAGAAGGAAGAAATAGGATATCAAGGATATCATAAACACCCTAATCGGTATTAATAGTTCTTGACGTAACAAGAAAATAAAAATAAATAAAAAAATAAAATAAAAAAGTAGAAAGAAAAAAACATCAACACTTTCCCTCTTATAACGGCAAGGACATGCGAGAAGATATTATGTCAAAAAAATGTTGCTGCTTTTTTTTTTGTTATACTTTATTTTTTCTTTTATTACAATTCTATTTGGCTTAGAATTTAGCATAACAAAGTTACAAGAAGTCACAAAAAGTAAAACGAAAAAAAGAAAAACATCAGTCGGATATTCTTCGTGAAGCTAATATAAAGAACGAAAAGAGAAGAAGAAGTTATAAAATCAGAAAGAAAAAGGGAAAATAATTCTAGTTTTCTGTTTCAGTTTTACGGATATGAGGTAATAAAAGCATAGTTTTGAGAACTAAAAATACATTTTAAATTTGTTTCAACAAAAAAAGGATAACCAAACCAACTTCTACCAGTAAAAGCAACAACAACAACTTCTTATAGTAAAAATAAAAATAACAAAATTTTTTGAAGGATAAAATAAAGCGTTTGTCTATTGCAATCGTTAAAATATTTTGTTATTTGAAAAAATTGATTGGAACATATGGAATTTGGTATTTTAATATCGAAAATGTTAATTTTCTATCATTTTATTTTGATAGTCATTGATTATTTGATCGATACTAGATTGTAGATTTGTAGATTTGTGCAACGGGGTCAACAATGCACCGCGACCACGTATAAGGATCAATTGTGCGCCCCCACCCGAGTGTGGGGCCTGCCCTACAATACACACTCGAGACCCACCCTCCTGATGAACTCAAGCAACTAGTGAGCACCACCTCCCAGCACCTCCCCCCTCCAACGAGCAAGAGGTCTCTGCATACTCCCCACAGAATCTGCAAGCATCCTCATTTTCCAGGCCCAGCCGACTAGGGTGTCCCCTAAGCCTGCAGTGACCCGTCAAAATGCCGGTGAGGACTCTCACCTGGTTCTTGCCCATCCCTATAATTTTCTTAAATCGCTTCTGGTCATAACCTCCCAGGAGCTCTTTGGCTTGCGGCAGCTCCGGCAGACTTCTCCAGCGCTCCGACCGCCTTCTTTCTGATTCCTTCCTTAATTCCCAACGAATAGTATGTCGTCCGATCCCACAGAAGGGCTCCGGCCTAAGAAAAGGTGTGCTTGCCCCCTTCCTCGCAAGCGCATCAGCGGCCTAATTTCCTTCGGCGCCCACATGGCCCGGTACCCAACACAGTGTGACCCGGCTGCATCTGCCTAACTCATTGAGCTTCTCAAGACAGCCCCATACTGCCGCGGAGGATACTGAAAACGAGTTCAGCGCTCCGATTGCAGCCCCGCTATCCGACATAATCATTATTTCCTTTTCCAGATACCCCCTTTCTAGGCTGAACCGCACGCACATTTCAATGGCGTGCAGCTCAGCCCGAAACACACTCGGAAAAGTTACCATAGGTTCGGAGAATTTGGTCCTTGGCCCAAATACCCCCGCATCCGTCCCAATACTGGTCTTTGACCCATCTGTGTACCATCCAATAACGTGTGTTCCAACTGGGAGGCCCGAAAAGTCACGCTCCCAGTCCCTTCTGTTACTCAGCAACGATAGGAGCCGAACCTCCCCGACAAGACGACCCCAATCTCTCATACCGATTATTCCGGCTCCATTTCTCCCCAACCTGAAAATGGCAGCCTTCGCTGCCATCTCCTCAACAAGCTGCAAGGGGGTTAGTCCCAAAATCACCTCCATTTCCGCCGTTGGACAAGTTCTCATAGCCCCCGTGATGCAGACGCATGCGAGTCTCTGCAATCGTTCCAGGTTCCTTCTAGCCGTACCAAGAGCAACCCTTCTTGCCCATGCCACTGCTCCATAAGTAAGGAACAACACGACCATCGTGGTATACATCCACCACATGACAGACGGGGAGCAGCCCCACGACCTGCCCGAGATGGCCCAGCAAACCATAAGTGCCCGGGTTGCCCGTGTACACACAGCTTCCTCGTGACTTCGCCAAAGAAGCTTGGAATCAAACACCACTCCTAAGTATTTGACCTCCGATTTCCTCTCTACAGCCGCTCCGCATACGTATATTGTGCGCAGATGCTCCAGCTTTCTTCTTCTAGTGAAAGGCACTAGGGCCGTCTTGTCAAGGTTAAGCCTGAGGCCCACTGTGTCGCACCAAGTCAGGGCCACCCGTAATCCCTTTGGACTATATCACAGAGTTCCCTCAAACTTACTTCTAGCGATGATGACTATATCATCGGCATAAGTCTGGACACCGATTCCCTGACGAAGCAGCTCATCAAGGAGTTCATCCACCTCCAAACTCCACATTAGCGGGGACAGAACCCCACCCTGTGGATATCCTCTGGTCACGCGCATTCTTAGGGTGCTCTGCCCCACAGCAGTCTCTGCTACCCTCGTAGCCAACATATTGGACATCCATAGAGAGGTGCCATCATCAACGTCTCTACGTCTCAGGGCGTCCGCAATCGCCTCATGAGAAGTGTTATCGAAGGCCCCCCTCGATGTCCAGAAACGCGCATAGCGCCACCTCTCCTTGTTCTATTGTGCTTTCTAGGGTACTGGCAAGGCGAAACAGAGCAGTCTCTGTTGACCTCCCCGCCCGATACGCATGCTGGCAATCGCTCAGCGGCCTCCTCGTCAGCACCCCCACCCGGACATGGTTATCAATTATTTTCTCCATGGTGTTCAATAAGAACGAAGTGAGGCTAACCGGTCTGAAGGACTTTGGCACCATGTCCCTTCTTCCCACTTTGGGAATAAAGACAACCCTCGCCACCCGCCAGGACTCAGGAATATATCCGAGAGCCAAGCTCCTCCTGAATATTCTTATTAAGAAAGGCATAATTGGCTCCAGCCAGCGTTGCAGAAGTGCTGGTGAAATCCCACCCACTCCCGACGCCTTGAAGGGCTGCAAAGTGCCAACAGGCCACCTTATCCTTTCCCCCGTAATTATGCACGCAGCTTTCCGCCAATCCTCAGGACGTGGTATTCTGCATTCCCACATTCCCACATTCTGGGAAATGCGCCTTCAGGAGAAGAGCCCTTTGCTCCTCGTTCTCCGTGTAGCCACCATCCGGCCTCCTTAAAGAAGCAGTCACTGGCACCCTGTCTCTAGCCAGAGCCCTGTGGAGCCACGCAGCCGCCGACGTCTCCGCTAAGCTCCCGCAGAATGATCTAAAGCTTCTGCGCTTAGCCCTGCGGATCTCCTTGCTGTAGGCTGTCATGAACTTGTACTCTTCCCAAGTATCCTCTCGCTTAGCTTTACTGAAAAGCCTGCGAACCCCAGCTCTCAGGCTTTCTAATCGCGGGGTCCACCAAGGTGCATCTGTGAAATCCCTTGGCACGCTAATGGGGCAGTTCGACTAAAAAGCATCGACCATAATCCTCCGAGCTCCTCCACAGCCCTTTCCAAGCACACCAGGGGATGCCTTGCCACAGTTCTAACCGAGGCGCCCGACAGTTTTGCCTCCAGGTCCTTTCTGTATCCCTCCCAGTTTGTCCGCCTCGGATTTCTGAAGGAAGATTTCTCCTCCATCAACCCACCCAGACAAAACGGGATGATTCTATGATCTGACATAGAAACCTCCCCCGATACCTTCCAGTCGCGTACCAGAAACCCCACATTCGGACTGTCGAATGTGATATCCAGTACCTCCTCTCCTAACCCTAGTCACAAAAGTTGGGGCATTCCCTACATTAAATATTTCTAGGTTTTCTTTAACTACAAATTCTAATAAGGACTCACCTCTAGTATTGCTGTCGCTGCTTCCCCCGTGCAACGTGATGCGCATTTGCATCACAGCCCATGATGAGTGGCCACCTCTTCCTATTGCACTGCTCCACAAGCCTCCGTACCTCTGGTGGCGGAGGGGATGCTCCATCCCCCGGAAAGTACGCTGATGCGAGCACTATCTCCAAGTCCGTGCCCCCAACATTAATGTGGGCCCTGATAGGTGTGAGGTCCCTTGTCATGTATTCCGAAAGTAAAATAAAGTTAATATTTTTTCTAATTAGAATGCAGGTCCTGGGCCGGTCCTGCCCACAATCCCATACTACCTGCGCATCCCTAATTGACAGTCCTATAATTGACCGATTATATTACCCCGGCTGTACAAATCTAAAATTATATGTTTACATAAAAAATTAGTTTGAAAAGAATTAAAAATTTGATTTTCATAATGGAATTTCTTTGTATATTTTAACTAAAGTTAAAAGATATTTAATAATGGAAAAATCAAAAAATGTCTCTTATTTGAATTTATAATTAAGAATTGTCACGCCCAACCCTATAATTATATCAAACCAATTGGCCTGTAAAGCTTCAACCTTTTTGGTTATTTACCATAGTTCTCCATAAAATATATTTGGTCTCAGTTCGCTAAAAGGTTCCAGAACGATGTAACATCCCCGATGGTATCGTGTTAGCCGCATAATTTATTTCCGCGACTATACAAATTATGATTTTCGCGGGTAATGATGCGACCATCACTGCTTTCCCACGACACTCTTGCAAACAAAGCATTCGTAACTTTTCTTATCTTTTCTTACATGTTATCACGTCACGAAAACTTCCGATGGTATTCTTGGGTTACAGCTGAATTATCGCCCGATGGGTTTCCGAAGTCACAATCTATAGAGGGTAATAACATCCTCTACTCCATAGACCTGTATCTCCTGTATGCATGTTAATCAACCGAAAAATCGCGTTTCTTGATCATTCGAAATATGGCGTTTACAACATGAAAGGAGCATTGCTACTTGTTCTTTGTTTTGGTAAGAAAGCCCCATTTTTCTCTATCAATTAAAAATTTCTAGAGATATTAAAATAATCATTTTACAATTCATAAAACCCAACTTGGCTGCCCACACTTTTAGAGTGGATTGATAACATAGCTTATATCAAAATTTATTTTTAAGAGTGGTGGTACTTTACAGAGTGAATATTAAAAACAATTATAAGCATTCGCTGTGACATGTTAATTGTTAAGCCTAACACAAAATTCAAGACTTTATTTCAACGACAAAGTAAAACGACCATTACTGAAGTTTATATTTTCCCATATAAATTAAAATTAAATTATACTAAAACTTCTCTTATAAATTATTGTAACTTTGTTTTTCAAGAATAATATAATTTTCATAACAGAAATTATATTTCATCTATGTGTGTGCTTCATGTATGGTTCCAGTTTTAATCCCTCATAAATTTTATATGTAAAAGAAAATTTAATACGAAAGAGAAATGTAATTATCAACAAAATGTATAACTTTTTCCATGTCATATTTAATTAATATCACCTAGATCAGCAAACATATCAAGAAGTTAAATTAAGAATGAATGTAAAGAAACGTTTTGAAAACTGATATAAAACCGAAATGGAATATTTACAATAATAACAAATAAGGAATGAGGAAAAACCAACCATTTTTATTTTGCTGCATCAGCTGGTTACAGAAAATTCTTATTATACATCCTTTTTTTTATATTTTTGGTATTTAATATTTGAGTATAGAACTTGTTCATACTATGGATATCAAATAAGTTTTTCTCTTTTATTCTTCTACTTGTTTTTCGTTCTACATCCCATTACTTGTTTATATGACCTTACATTCCATAAACTGATAACTATACCATTGTATAAGCAAGTATGTGTGCATATAAATAAGGATATCACAACTGTTGTGAATGTATAGGTAACCTAATAATAGTACAAAATAATATGATAGAAATCATTTCTAATTCATTCTAGGACTTTATTGTATATGCTCACATAATTTTATGACCTTTCACAGTTTTTAAAGGACGACATAATATTAAAGAAGAAAAATATTCTTACATTTTCTATTAATTTATGATTTTTTTTAAGTAAACTGGAGTGTACAATAGTATTATATAGAGTATTCTTGAGTAGTTACATAAAAAGGTACCCTTACGAGAGAAAAGTATAGGTTCGGTTCATTTTTCGATTCAACTTTAAGGAAAATTTTTGAATTTATTCGTTTAAAAATATAGCCAATGCACATTACTTTTACTTTATACGCTTTCCTTATTTTCGACGCTGTCCTTTATTTTTATATATTGGTAGATATATTTTAAAGCTAATTACTCTTCAGATACTTATTTGTTTAATCATTATTAAACTAAAAATTTAATTTAAGTTGATTTTAGAAAAACAAGGAATCCCTTATATTGCAATAGTTAAAAAAAAATTGAGTTTTGCAGTTCTTAATAGATCTTGAGCAGATGCTATAGGGACATATTCTGCACTCAGAGGGAGAACACAATAGATTCTTATAAGTGGTCGTGGTACAATATTACCCCGGTTGTACAAATCTACAATCTACAATACTACGGCTCCAGTACTCTGTAACAAAAGTAATTTTGCGTTATTAGATAATTTTATTATTACTCGTATGGGTACATCAAAATTTCATATTTTATACTTGATACCAAAATTCTATCAATTTTATTAAATGAAATCGCCTTCTTCTATTTTTTTTATTATAATAACAAATTATGATTAAAGTAATTTGCTAAAAGTACTATGTACTTAACCAATCGTTATAAAAAAACTTGTATTGATAATAAAGTTTAGTATCCTCTGTTAACATTTATTTGTTTTTCAGCTACTTATCTTTTTTATTTCTATATCCCGAGGATATCTAAGTGACTTATCACTTCTGTTTGTAAATACGTCAAAAATTGCATTGCTCATATCAAAAATACAATGCTATCAATAAATAAGTTTTATTTATATCCTTTTATTTTTTTTCTTCTTTTATTTTGTTTGTATTGAATAAATTTAACCTTTTTTTGAAGACGCAGCATAAAAATTTTCCATTTGATTAATTTCATTAAGAAGGGAAGGAGTGGAAGAAGAAAAAAGGGCATCCATTATTATTTTTTTGAAGACAAACTAAACTAATAACAAAATTAATAATAAAAAATTAACGTACTAAAATTTTTGCTCCTTGTTATTATTAAATATTGTTTATCAACATATAATATTTACTGTACTATGCTGTAGAGTGATCAGTTTAAATAAAATGTCAGTTAAACTAAAATATTCCGAATTTCATCATGCATTTTTTTTAAATGTTTTCATTAATGTCACCACGAAAAAATAGCTAGCAGTTGGGGTTACCTAGGCTAGGAAAATTCGGCTGAAAAACTTATAAAGCCAATAAAGCTTGACCCACACAAGACCGGAGTCTGCTGAATAATTGTACTCATACAGTAAAGAGACATTCTGCAATAATTGCTCAGAAGGTACAGAAAATATTGTCCACCATTATATAGTAGTACTTAAGCATTTAGGAATAACAATAGTTTAAAAATATTAAGTGTAAGTTCAAATATACTTTTTTTTAATGCGTGCATAAATTAAGTATGGAGCTTCATTTTAAAAAGATTACAGGACTATCACATCTTATTTAAATTTAATTAGATTTGTTTTACTTTTAATTTTCCCTTGAAATATTCTAATATGTAATTATTAATTTAATTATTAACTGTAGTTTAATAATAATTATTATAATTATTGAAAATTATAAAGAGGAAAATGCGATATGATAATAGAAATTTAACCAATTAGCTAGGTCATGAGTTTCATATTTTTTTCTTTTTTTTGTGTATTTTATTATTATTGTTTAATTCTTAATTTATTTCGCATGAATAACCATATTTAAAGGAGAAAAAGAAAGAGAATTAAGGAAAACTAATTATTATTTTTTTTATTTTATTTTTAATCCCCTCCTTTTTTTCTCTTTTATTTTAATTTATACCAATATTATTTACATAAAATATTAATACCACTTCACTGATTCAATTTGTAATTTTAAATATTTAGCTTTTAATAATAATATTTTCCGACAACACCCTTATATTTAATATTATTGTAGTATAAAATTTTTCAAATTACACGAAAAATGAAGAACAAGGATTTTAATGGTAGTATAAAGAAAAATTAATAAATTATAAGTTCAAATAATTAAAGGTTAAAAAAAGTTTTATGATTAATATCTGTAAATAAGGAATAAAGTTGAAATAAATGATATTGTATTAGGAAACTCTGCTATTCTGGTATATTGGTTCACTATAGGAAATGCTATACAGATAATATAACAATGTGGGGCTTGTTCGTGCGTTCATACGCGCCTAAGATAAACTGGTTGGATCTAAGTACAATACAACAAATCATGAACACAGCTGAATTAACAACAAAATGTTGAATTTAAATTCAATAAATCGGTCAAATGCAATTACTAAGAACTCAAAATGTTTGTATATGTACCGTTCTTACATCCTGCAATATATAATTATTTAAATTTGAGTATGTAATGTAGAATGTAAAGCTAAATTTCTATATCATAATTTTATTTGTGATTTTCTCTTAGTAAAAACAATCACTTATTTTTATTAAGTAAATAACTTAATTCAGCCTTGTACAATCTTATCTGTATCAAATTTCTCACGAAAACACTTTAAACTGTTGTTTGTATAAGTAGAATCCAAAAAATAAGAAAAATTATTAATTTCCTTAAGAGTAGAAAATTAGACACAATTCGAGGGGAAAAAGAAAGAAATGAAAGGGAAAAATTATCAAATAATCCTTAATAAATTATGAAAATGATTTATACATGTACAAAAATTTAATTTGTATATAAATAACGAATATAATTAAATAAATAAATTTAAATAAGAAAGACAACAATTATTGAGTAAATTTCTAAAATAAATAACCAGTTTTAAGTGAGACAAAAATAAACAGAATTTATAAAGTAGGCAAGGGGTTTAAAGAATTTTTGCAAATGAATTTTTTGCTTACTTTTTGAAATTGAAAGACAGAAGAGTAGGGGAAGAGAAACACATTTTATATGCAAGAAGTTGTACCAAGCTGCTCATAATTCTAATTATAATATAATTGAAAGAGCTAATCAAAAAGAGCTAATCTTTTAATATTATTTATATTTGCATTGATAAATTTCTAACACATATAACTAGAACTTTATAAAGCCGCAAAGTTTATAAATATTGTGCTAACAAAAGTTTTTCTTTTTCTTCTTTTCAGGACCTCTTATTATATCGGAAGCTGTACAAGGAACATTAGGTAGATTACCATGTAATATAACACCACCGGTGCCAGAAGATCGAGTAGCTTTAGTAATTTGGTATAAAGAGGGTCATTCAAAACCAATATATAGGTAAGTAGTAATTTTAAAACATTTAAATAATTTTCATGAAATTCTAGTTTAATGAATCCCTTGCAATTGTAATAATCTCATTTCAGTTCATTTCAACCCTGAATTTTTTACTTTAATCAATTAAAAGAATTAAATTCATTGTATTTAATTTAAATTAAATTATTGCTAATAATCGTCCATACGAATTCATATCTTATTTTTTCAATTCAATTTAAAATTAATAAAGATCCAACTTACCTTAATAAAAATATAAATTCAATTTGGATTCTGCCAAATGATTCCGTTGCGCAGTAAGTCTATCTTCCTCATACCTTTTGTCTAATACAATGATGAATAGCAACGGGTAAAGAAGGAGTCTGTGTCTGACTCCTGTTGAGGAAGGATACTGACTTTGATGATGGAGCTTACTATTATGTAACATTACAGCTTTGGCATTAATATAAAGCGTCTTTATAATTTGTATTAGTTTGAGAAAGATTCTGTGTCTCTTGAGTGTTGCTCAAGTGCTTTAATATAAAGCGCCTTTATAATTTGTATTAGTTTGAAAGAGATTCTGTTTCTCTTGAGTACAGCTGTCGCGTATCGCGAGCTTTAGCTTTTTTATTATCTCCAGTATTTTTCTAATGATTGGTGCCCGTCTTTTGATTCAAATCTCTTCACTAATGTTTAGTTCTTGGTATTCAAATTTATTATTTTGGGTAGATTTTATTTTTGGTGTTGGTTTCTGCAAAGTTTTCTTTTCATCTGCTCAATTGTAATGTTGATGTGCGTAGATTATCATTCTTACTGTTATCGGTCTTAATTTGCGGTGGTTCTTGTTGGAGTTGGTAAATATCAATTTTTCTATGGAGTAATGAAGTATTGCTTCATTCTGCGGTTACTTGATCTTCTCTGGCTATGTTATAGAATTTCTTCTTATCACTTCCTGCCATTTTCCTAATTATTCTACATATTAACTTGTGTGAGCTTCTCAAGTTGCATCATTTTTTGTTAATAATCTGTTTTCTACGTGCTTTTGTTTGTTGTCTAAAGTTCAAGTTTTATCTGAGATCTTGCTCTTTATGTCTGATGCTACCCATGATTTCTTCACCGATTTGACGACAGAGACTTTGTATTTGTTGTTGATTTCTATCCTCATATCTATTCAGCTCCAATTTTATATATGGCACAAATGTCTCCTTTATATCTTCTGTTTTAAGCTTGTGACTGTCAAATCGTCCCAACCTGGTCGATAAAAAGTGATAATCATTTAATTCTAAACTTTTTCAAAGATATTTTTAAAATTTTATTTAATATAAATTTTTTTATAGTTTTGATAAAAGAACATCAAAATTTGAAAATGGTTCTCATTGGGTCGATGATATTCTTGGTAAAAGAGCATTTTTTTTAATAGCTGGTAAACCAGCAGCACTGACAATCAGAAATACAAGGAGTGAAGATAGCGGGATGTACAGATGTCGCGTAGATTTTCAAAAGAGTCCAACAAGAAACTCTAAAGTTCAATTACGTGTTATAAGTAAGTATATCACATTTATGGCTTTGTTTTTTTTGCTTTGAATTTGTTTTTGCAAAGTTATTTTTGAAACATTGGTACAATCAGAGAATATGTTAACCGATTGATTATAAATTGATATTAATTATTTAATAATTTAATAAAAGTAAGACTTAAAAACACTTAATTTACTTAATTGTTTTAAATAATGCTAAAAGGCTTTCTTTAGATAGTCATCAATAATCATTAAAATTTCGGAATTTCTAAAAAAATTTTAAACTGCTCTTTAATTTTCGATTCTCTTTAATAAAATTAGTCTTTAATTTATAAATTTTTTCCTATTTTTGTTAAATATATGCGTGTTACATAATGTTTATATTAATTATAATAATATTATAGCTATGTTCGGAAAAGTGTTCTCCAAATAATTGTAAAATAAACCATTTTTTCCTGTTCTTTCTTTTTCATTTTTTTTGATATCCCGAAAATGAACCAAAATAAATTTTTTGTTTTCTGTTTTTCTTTACCAAATTATTTTCGAGTAAGAAAACTTTTACCCATTAAAAGAATTTTCTTTACTTTTCATTAACTTTTCCATAACATTTTTATTATTCTAACATACTTAATACATTCATTCTTATTTTCATATGTTCCCATCAAGGATTTAAAAATTAAAGCGTGTTAAATAAAGTACAGAAAAGAACAACAAAAATAAAAAATTAAAAGGAGATAACAAATCCATTTCCCTTCTCTTTCGATTCTTTTTTTTTTAGTTTTTTTCTTTTTTTTGAAATATATTATGGTGTCTGTAATAAATTGTTAATAAAGGATCATAATTATAATTAAATAAACACATATAAGCTGTGAGTTAAGTTAAGACTTTTTAAAATTCTAATAATACTCTCCCATCCCAAAGTGTCTATACCTATATCACAGTATCACGAATATAAAGTGTGTATACGAGGAAGTAAGCATTTTGTTATACTTGATTTTTCATATAGGTACATATTACGATTTCATTATATCTATATCTAGATATATGTATGTACACGTTGTTCTTCATATTATTTTTTATATTTAAAATAAAATATATGAAATGAAAGAATTATAATATTTAAGAAAATTTATTACTTACACGTTCATTTTATGCTATGATTATGTTAGAGTACAGGGTGGAATTGAGAAACAATAGAATTTAAAATTTCAAAAATAATATTCAGATGTCTATTTTTATCTACGTATTTACTAATGTTAGAAACAAAGAATATATTATTCCAGTTCTTTGCAAGATGCTTTAATAACTGGTTGCAGGATTTTATCACGTAGTCGCTGGATGAGAAGATTTTTATTTTAATAAAGTTAAATTAAACGTCGATTAATTCGTAAATTAAAAAAAAAAGATTGAATGAATTTTGCATATTTGCACTCACAAAAAGCAACATGATTTAAATATTACGCTGCAAAAATTTAGGAAAAAACTTGATGATTTCTTGACGCGATGATTTAAAACTACTCAATCGGCCCTAAGTTGGGCGCCATTTTCTTAACTGTGAATTTTACTTAGAAATGATCTATAATAAAATATAAAAACGACTTAATACGCTTATTAATACCCTTTTCACACCATGTACCTTATTTTAAATAGAACAAAAAAAAAAAATTGAGAAAAATATTATAAATTATCTTTATGGTTTTTCTTTCTTTGCGTTTTTTTTTCTCCCTGTTAATTTGTAATGAAATTTTTATAAAATTTTCATTTCAAGAAGAACAAAAATTTTTAATAATTTGCAAAGTTTAAACTTTTTCTCCCATTTCCCTTTCTCGTAATTTGAATAATTTCCAATTTGAATATATCAAATCTTGTGAAAAATATTATATTAGTCATGAAACTTAAAATTAAAAAAAAAATTCTGAATTTTAAATCAATTTTTTTTTTTTGAAAAAGTTGTTTCTTATTTAAATTTTATGGGTATATGTTTTTAGGAATACCAAATATTTGATGTTCTATACTATCAAAATATTTTAAAAAGAATATTCAAAAGCAATCTTATCTATTATAATTAATTATATTAAAACATTAATAGATATTTTATTAAGCGTGTTTCTTTTTTAAATTCTAGCCCAATGACTTCCAAATACAATGTATTTAAACATGTTAAAAATCATATTTTACGTTCAGCGCTCTACCATTTTAGGTGACCGATACTAAGTTCCGAAACGTTGATTTACAATACAAGATACAACAAAATACATATATTATACAGAAATTCATAAACATCAAAATTTAAAATCTCTTCATATAAGTAAACGTATTGTGACTTGATAACACACTGCTAGTTACGCTTTGTTTTTTAATAATATCAAACATTTTGTAAGACAACAATTGAAATGAAGCTACTTCGCCTTACATCTCCAATTAAATGAGAAATTTTTTGGAGGAAAAACTAAATTTAAATAAACTCATAAACTAAAATAAGATTAATTTTATATCTTCTAACTTTAATTTAAATTTTACTTGATAAATGCGTATGTATGCACTAAATGAACAAAAAATTTATTCGTCATCTTATAATATGTCTAAAATAGCAATCATAAAGTAACAACTAATAAATCTTATACTCGTAACTCTAACATAATCTAATAATAGTAAATTTTAGCTAAAATTTTAAATATTCTTATATATCACGTTTTAAGTTAAGTACTTGAATATTATGAAATTAAAATTTTAAATTAAATACATTATACACTTATATAAAAATAATTAGTTTAACCTTTAAAAGCAAGAATAAACTTTTTCTCTCTTTACAAAATTCGGCATGTTTTTTTTTGTTTGTATTAACTATTTTGTGAATTGTTAAGTTTTCTGTCACGAAAACTTTTTACTAGTTAACATATTTTATTATAAAAATAGTTATGGTGTATATGAGAAAAATTACCAAAAATGTGGTACCACTATTTAAATTCGTATATTATGCATATATATTATGTATTTGTATATTGTGTTTGTACATTTTAATATAAAAATTTATGCGTCAACAACAGACTCATAAAGTATATTAAAAATAACATTCCATATTTACAATTTTTGTGTACCCATATGTGAACGTATACGTAAAATAATCATGTGAAAATTTTATAACTATCAAAAAACTTTTTATATGTTACATAAACGTTTAATATTATATTATACAATATTAAAGTTGTGCACACAGATGTTTGTAAAAACCAAATGATATGGAGCGCTTTAAATAATATGCTTTTGCTCTCTAAATTTAAAGAAAAATAAGGGAAAATTGAAAACTTCCATCAATTAGGTACGCACTGTTTCACGTACTCCAAAAGAAAATAATCTAGGAATGTCAAATTGGCCTAATTTACGAGACCAATATATAGGATCCACAACGTGCAAATAAGGTCCTAAATAACATGAAATGCCAAAAAATAAACTACAAGAAACCCTAAATAGCGAAGTATCACCTATTTCAATACATGGTTGGCTGACGTGACCGGTGTGACAGGGCTCGGAACTTTAACGAGCACAAATGTGCCGTTTTGCCGATTACAGATGATATATCTATGCCACTGGTTCTTCTGAAGAATCTATAATACATAATATACAAAATGTTATGTAAGATAACCTTTCAAACCTTATTTTACTTTTAAATCACGACCTGTATGTACAGAAAAAATTTTTTCACAAAACTCAATTTTCCTTTTCTCAAACTTATATTTAATTTTTTTTTCTTTCCTAAATTTTTATAACATTCTACAAAATATCCTTAATTTTTATATAACATTCTTTGTTATTATTATCCTGTAATATTATATCCTTTAAATAAACATTTTTATTTTTATAATATTAAAATATTTTTGTTTTTGTTTTTTACTTACATACATATTAAATATGTACCTTCTTACTCTAAATTTTTCTTTTTGTAATACAATTTCAGTACCACCAGAAAATTTGGTTATATTAGATGATAGTGGTAACCATATACCACACTATATACTGGGACCGTATAATGAAGGAGCTTCCATAAATATAACATGTGTTTCAACTGGCGGTAAGTTTACAATAGAAAGTATACAAATTTCTGTTTTCTCTCTTGTATTTATGAAAAATCTAAGTTTAATGATTTGTAAAGGAGTACTTTTCAAGTTGTATGTACATTTTGTCTTACTGCATAGCCATAGGAAGATGATAGAAATATTGACTTAATATTGGCTTAGTGATTAAATTAGGACAGTTAAGATATAAAAGACAGATTAAATTTGGTTTTTTAATACAAAAACATTTATTGTTCAAAGAAACCTATTTGTCTTGACAGTAATTATATTAGACCCATGATTTTCAGAAAGTAAAAAATGAAAAATTGAAACCATATTAATGAAATAATTTGAAATTAGAACGCTATCTAAAATCCGTGACAGTATAAAATCTTAAATCCTTCTAAGTGGAAAGGACAAACATGCTAGATCAAACAGAACATGCACGAACAATCAAAACGAAAAGTATTCTAAACAAATTTTTTTACTAAGAAGACATTGAAATGTGACAGAAAATAAAAAAAAGTGGTTTTAAGATGATTTTCCGGGAAGAAAACTTCTGCATGAAAATTTTATGTATTAAGTCTATGAGATTTTTTTTTTGTTCTTACTTGTGGCTTTTTTTCCAACAGTTTCCTGTTGGAAAATTTTAATGAAGCAGCGAAAAGTTTAGCTTTTAAAAAATTCTTTTAAAACTTGATGTTTATTTTTCAGCTCTGGTTTTAATATTTTTTCTCTATTCTAATTTGTTAGAATATAAAACTCTTTTCTAATTTGTTAGAATTTTGAATGAAATTTAGCGAGAAAAATTATGTCTGCCACTCTTTTACTTTGACGTGCGGTAAAGATTTTAGTTATACTTATACATATTTAACATAGTATTTAATATGTGTTATAAAAATAAAGCATTTTACATAAAATCACATATTACTTTATTTTACTATTATATCTGATATTTTTCATATTAGCAAAAACTAATAGTTTTCGGCTATATCATGAGAATTTAATATACTATTGATTAAAAAATACTCTGTGTTTTTCAAAATAACAATTTATTTTCTCAATATAATTTTAAAAGTGAATCGATTAAACGAATAACATGGGTCTAAATTGAGCTTGTTTAATTTTTACATGTTACAAAGTATGTACAAAAATTATTTAAAATTTTGCCCAATTCTGTTCTTTAAGTCCTTTGTATGAAACACTCTCGAAACTACATTTAAAAAGGAAGTAAAATTCACTACATTTAAGTAGGTATAAAAAAACTTCTTAATGTCAACTGGCACACTTTTTAAATTTATTTAGTCACGGGAAAACCTAATGTTAGTTTAGGCTACGTAAATTTAACTACCTGGTTCTGTAATATCAAATATTTTTCACACTAAATATATTAAATAAAATATATTAAATGAAATATATTAAATGAAAAATGAAACAGCTCGAAGACAAATATCCGCCTCCTTTCAAGAATTACTTACAACAATGTTCTTGTTGTTTGTTATAAAGAAAAAAAAACCTACTACAAAAATTCCGGTTGCTTGATCGTACGTATACTTATAAAAAGTAGACACTAATTTGTATACAAATATCGTGAAATAAATGTAAGTATAACGGAATAAAATTCTTTTTAAATTTTTATTTCCGTTCCACTGTTTTCAAGGTTTATAGTCAATGTACAAGTTGTTCTGCAACCTATTTCTATATAATTCTTTAATATACTTTTATGTTAAGTTGTAAATTTATGAAACATACCATTCTTTAACAAATTCTTTAACAACTTTTCGTTAACAACTTTTAGTACTGTAATCAAACTTAGGCCAAATCATCCCTTTTTTAACCATTATACGTTTCCAATATCTATAGTGAGCTTGTTATTCGCTCGTCTATCGAACAAAATCACTGAGATGATGCCATATATTCCGGTTTTTATAATCTCAAGGTTCAATAAATTATTTTTGAATTTTATATAAAAATTTAAGTTAACACCTGCACTAGAAACAATTAAATTACACAAGAATGTAATAGGATGATATAAAAATTTTCCCAAATCACGCTTTTCTATGTAATTATGTGTGGTATAAAAATTGTATGCGATTGTATAAAAATAAAATTATATTAAATGAAATTTGCTAAAAATAGTACCTGTTTTAATCATGAAATCTACTCAACTGGTACATTAATGGTGATGAACTTCTTAATTATTTGGTAGTATTATAGTAAATTTAAACAAAAAATAAATTGGAATTGAACTCCTGAAACAAATATATAACTTAATACAACTTAAAACTTTTAGTGTCATTTTACTTACCGGTTGACTATAAATTTTGAACTTGATTCCTTATTTTCTCCATTCGATTTGCCTTGTTCTCATTTTGATTCTTAATTTTAATTCCAAGAATAAAATTATTTAAGTCTTGCGAAATTTTATAATAACAGTTTTAATGTGAAATTTTGTAATAACGCCGACGAAGTTTAATTTACCCGCTCAAACAGGAGAAAATTTATTTAGCTTGATTCCACTCGCATTCCTACAAAAAAAAAGGGAGAAGTGTTAGTCTGAAGATACGTTTTCAACACGGTTACATGATATCGCAAGATTTAAAATATATATTCTTAAAGAGAATTTAAATGTGATGTGAGAAAACTTCTTTAATAAACTTTACCGAATTTAAAAAAAAATGTTTATAAAATAAAAAATTTCAATAAAAAATATCTGGAAAAATCAAAATGTTTCATACATACATTTTGCATATAATTAATCAGACGATTAAAAAACTTATTTTATTAAAATGAACCGCCATAAAAGATTAAAACGTATTTACCTATATTTATTTTAATTTAAATTGAATGAAAAAAAGTCTTTTGGAAATATTATTCATTTAATCTCACAATACATAAGTGCCATATTACACTGTTAATCAATTAAATTCAAAAATAAGCTTTCATTTTTGTACAATTTTAAAACATTCTTAAAAATCTTAAGTTATAGCTTGCAAAAATTTGAAATACAAGACACTCAAATGTTTGTTATTTAAGTTGGAAATCAAAAATGTAATCAAATTCCTGTCTTTAATATTTTTTTACAATATTTTTCTTATGTTTTCAATTTTCTTACAAGTTAATCCTTAGAACATGTATTAAAATCCATAAAATGTAAATTTTTTTTTGAATTTGGATTCATTTTACATAAGTTAATGTAACAAGAGAACATAAAAATTAAAATGAAAAAACGAATCCTTACAAAAAAAAAGAAAACAAAATAACAAAAGCAAAGAATGAAAAATCAGAAGTTAAAAATTTAATACTTTTCTTGTTTGCAGCATCCTTTAACAACTTGTTGAACTACAAAGGAAAATAAAAATTAAAAATACAAAAAAAAAAATAAAAAGGAAAAAAGAAAGAAAACATATTCGATTAAAATCCTTTTTATTTTTTGATTTTGTTTTTTGTTTCATTTTCTTTTTACAAACATTTTCTACCAGTTTAGGCCCTTTTTTCTTGTCTTAATGTTAGAATTTTTTTTTTCAAATCTTCTTTAATACACTGAACAACATAAACAAAATATTTTAAAAGTTGCAATTTCAGTTGTTAAAATTCTGGAATCTGGCGGAAGCCAGATTGTTTGAAAAAATATTTTTTAAAATTCTGTGAGTTTTAAAACTCTTTTACGAGTACTAAATAGAATGGTAAAAAAAATAACGATTAATAAAACTTAAACACTGGTATAGAACAAATTTGGAATCAGATTTCCGAAATTCGATAAACTCAAAACTAAATTTCATAGCATATGAACTCGATTAAATTTAAATTAAAGTTATGCTCTATACTTAAGACTTTTCTACTTTAATTACTTTCTAATTAGAATTCTACTACAATTCCAGTACTCTATTAAATGTAATTTCTCATTTGTTACTCGAAACATTAATTAACATTTTTAAATTTTTGACTGAATTTGTCACCTTCTGAAACAAGGTTATGGGATGGTGAAATTTGCACATTCTTTTGAAAAAAAGAAAAAGAATACACAAAATGATTCTTACCCTGTAATAATCTAACTAACGGCTGACTCATTTTTTGAAAAAAATTTTTTACGAATTACTGCTATAGATTAGTTATTATATTCCATTCAAATTTAAGTGAACCTAAAAAAGGAAATATTTAAATAAAATGTGTATGTAACTTCTAGCAGTGAACATTTAATATTTAATTTATCCTTTTTGAATTTCAATTGGCGAAATTTAGGTGTAGTTCCGATGTCAATATTTTTAAATTTCGTGTTCTTTACTGTAAACCAAATACGCCAAATGAAACAAAATTCTTTCTAAAACGAATGACTTAAACATTATAGGAGAAAACAAAAAATTCTGATTTTATTTGACAACAAAAAGCAAAGGAAGAAAAAGAACACAGAAAAAATCAAGAGGAAGAGGAAAACAAAGCCAGAAGGGTACAAAATAACTATAACAACAAAAAAATGAACGAAAGACAAAAATTAAAAATATAAAAAAAAAATATGAAAGAAAAAACATATCCTTGATTCGATTTCACATATTTGATTTTAAATCAAAACAAAAAAAATGGAGCGAAAAAATGAAATGAAGGCACACATGAAAAACAAAAAAAAAATACTAACATATGCAATAATAATGTATTGCAAGGATCCGAAGAACCTTACAAAAAAAAAAAAAAAAAAAAAAAACCAAAAACATATTCGTATGTACGCAATCGACGAGTCCTTAATAAATATCGAAAAAAATATTCTTTTAATTCCAGGAATTTCATATTTCCGAATGAAGGAATAAACAGTATTAAAAAGAAATTGAAAAAAAAAAAAATTGAATCAAAGGACCTTTTTTTCTACATTTTCCTGTAAAAAATTTTTTAGGGAATTTTTTATTTTAATTTTTTTTTTACAATTTTTGTTTTTCAAGAGATTGATACAAAAGTAGAAAAAAACACGAATCAAAGGAAAACTGATAAAAATGTAGGGAGCAAAAAAAGAAAAATATATTTAACA